ATTCTTAATTTTATAGAATTTTGAACTTTTATTATTAATTATATCTATTTCCTCTTCTTTTATGTAAGGTTAAGTTACTTCTATTTTTTAGAATTTGTAAATGAATAGTTTTTTCTATCTTCACTTATAATATATAGGATTGTTTTTGTTCTCTAATGAAGGACGAGGGGTTTCTTTTGTAACGGATGGAATTGTAGATAGTGTTTTTGATGAATTAATTAGATTTTTTGTAACAGCAGGTTGATTGTAAATAGGATTTTAATTGAGGTTTTGTAATAAAGATTCTTTTCTTTATTACTATTATCATCATCATTATTATTATTATTATTTCAAAAATTCTTCCTTTCAAACATGTTTACCTCAATTGATGTTAGGTTCCCGTCTACATTTACCTGTTGCTCAGCAAATTCAGGATATAGAGCGATATTCTTCTTATTGCGTTGTCATCCGTAACCTCGTCCTAATAGCTTCTCGGTTGTCGTCCCCTTTTTGTGGCAATAGCCTTTACTACTGACGTCATTTTATCGGAGATCACAAACGTCTTCCATATTTGGTCAACGCTAGCTGGTTAAGACAATCTTGCATCCCAATACAGGCTCACTTATATCTACTTTGTCAATTGGCATGTGTTCGTTATTTATGTACTGCTCAAATTTTAAAAGTAGTTGGTAAGAGTGGTAAGCTGATAAACAATTTAATAATCATTAAATTATTAACCAGTTCAATGGTAACCGGATTGGTCTCCAAATAGCAAGAATTTTGAAGTGTTGTTGAAATTATTAAACCAACGAAAATCAATGCCCTGTTAGTCAGGCAGGTAAAATGGAAAAAGAATAGCCTGAAAATCAGTAAAAATGATAATGACAATAACAAAATAATTTTTATTGAACCACTTTGCACAAGCTTATAGCTTATTTTAGATGTTACAGATGTGTTACATGTTTTTTAACAGATGTTCTATCTTTACCCTGCAATACATTTTTTCTAACTTACAAACCACAAATTACAGCAATTTAATAATAATATGACTTGCTCTTAAGCTTTGGCTTAAACTTATTTCAGCAAAGTTAACAAAGACCAGTCATCGAAATGGTTTGTCGGTTGGGCGGGTCACCAGAAAATGAAAAGAAGAATTAGAAAGCCTCTGGAAAAAAAGAAAATATTATATGTTAGGTGTCGTTATTTCTTAAGAGTCTCAACGCTTTCCTTTGCCGTCAAAAGATTCAAGCAATCCCTGCCTCCTGTGCCATGCTGTAAAAAATTCCTTTTTGAGCCAGCAGATTAATGGGTGTGTCGAATTCTACCACAAATCCTTTGTCAAGAACCATAATTCTGGAAATACAAATCAAAATATGTCATCAAATAAAATAAGAGCTAGGAAACTATCAACTTGACATAAATTTCAGGGCAGCCGCCACACTAACAAAAGCAAACAATGGAACTAT